CATGTTTGAGACACAGCGTGACACCGAACGCCCTAACCGTGGTTGAGAAACAGCGTGACACCGAACGTCCCACCGAGGATGAGAAACAGCGTGACACCGAACGCCCCAACCATGGTTGAGAAACAGTGTGACACCGAACACCCCAACCGTGTTTAAGAAACAGCTTGACACCGAACGCCCTGACCGTGTTTAAGAAACAGCGTGAAACAGACACCCCAACCATGTTTGAGAAACAGCGTGACATTGGAAGTGTTCACCATGTTTGCAGATGACACCATCCGTGGAGTGGCTGGGCCAGACTGTTGTTGTGGTCTTCAGCGTGCTCTACTTCAGCCTCATCCTGCTGCTCATTGTGGTGGCTGCTCAGTCCACCTACCTGGCCCACCCCACAGCCGTCGGCGTCGCCATCATGTGTGCCACCTCCATCACTATCATCGCCTTTTACACCTTCAGCGATTCTCGGACCCCATCCTCGGATGCACCACTCTTGTTTTACACCATGTGAGTTACAGTGTCTTTCTATCTGTGTCAGTGTCATTGTCATTCTGTCTGTGTCAGGGTAAGTGTCATTGTCATTATGTCTGTGTCATTGTAAGTGTCATTGTCATTCTGTCTGTGTCAGTGTAAGTGTCATTGTCATTCTGTCTGTGTCGGTGTAAGTGTCATTGTCATTCTGTCTGTGTCCGTGTACGTGTCATTGTCATTCTGTCTGTGTCAGTGTAAGTGTCATTGTCATTCTGTCTGTGCCAGGGTAAGTGTCATTGTCATTATGTCTGTGTCAGTTTAAGTGTCATTGTCATTCTGTCTGTGTCAGTGTAAGTGTCATTGTCGTTCTGTCTGTGTCAGTGTAAGTGTCATTGTCATTCTGTCTGTGTCAGTGTAAGTGTCATTGTCATTCTGTCTGTGTCAGTGGAAGTGTCATTGTCGGCGTAACTGTAAAAGTCATTGTCCGTTTTCACATCACTGACATTTTCCATGTCCGTGTCATTGTCCGTGTCAGTCTCATTGTCTATGTCAGTGTTATTGTTGGTGTCAGTGTAAGTGTCATTAATCAGTGTGAGTCTAAGGGTACTTATCCAGGTAATATTTGTGCAGTCATCCATCTGACTGGTGGTGAAATATTCATGTAATTTTGACGTAATTATCCACGAAATTTAATTGCAACTATCCATGTAAAATTTGTGTAATTATCCGTGTTAAATTAGTGCAATTAATTAATTAAAAGATAATGTGTGTATGTGTGTGCATCTGCGCGTGTGTGTCTGTGTGAGTGTTTGTGTATGTATGTATGTATGTATGTGTGTATGTATGTATGTATGTATGTATGTATGTATGTATGTATGTATGTATGTATGTATGTATGTATGTATGTATGTATGTATGTATGTATGTATGTATGTGTGTGTGTGTGTGTGTGTGTGTGTGTGTGTGTGTGTGTGTGTGTGTGTGTGTGTGTGTGTGTGTGTGTGTGTGTGTGTGTGTGTGTGTGTGTGTGTGTGTGTGTGTGTGTGTGTGTGTGTGTGTGTGTGTGTGTGTGTGTGTGTGTGTGTGTGTGTGTGTGTGTGTGTGTGTGTGTGTGTGTGTGTGTGTGTGTGTGTGTGTGTGTGTGTGTGTGTGTGTGTGTGTGTGTGTGTGTGTGTGTGTGTGTGTGTGTGTGTGTGTGTGTGTGTGTGTGTGTGTGTGTGTGTGTGTGTGTGTGTGTGTGTGTGTGTGTGTGTGTGTGTGTGTGTCTGTCTGTCTGTCTGTCTGTCTGTCTGTCTGTCTGTCTGTCTGTCTGTCTGTCTGTCTGTCTGTCTGTCTGTCTGTCTGTCTGTCTGTCTGTCTGTCTGTATGTATGTATGTATGTATGTATGTATGTATGTATGTATGTATGTATGTATGTATGTATGTATGTATGTATGTATGTATGTATGTATGTATGTATGTATGTATGTATGTATGTATGTATGTATGTATGTATGTATGTATGTATGTATGTATGTGTGTGTGTATGTATGTATGTATGTATGTATATATGTGTGTGTGCGTGCGTGCGTGCGTGCGTGTGTGTGCGTGTGCGCGTGTGCGCGCGTGTGCACGCGTGTGCGCGCGTGTGCGCGCGCGTGTGTGTATGCGTGCGCGTGTGTGTGTGTGCGTGTATATGTGTGTGTGTGTGCGTGCGTGCGTGCGTGTGTGTGTGTGTCTTTATGTGTGTATATGTGCGTGTGTATGTACGCATGTACGTATGTGTGTGTGTGCATGTTCGTATGTATGTGGATGTAAGTGTGTATTGGGTGCCTATGTGTGTGTGTGTGTAAGTGAGTGAATTTGTTTGCGTGTCTATGTGGGTGTGTGTTCGCGCGCGAGTGTACGCACATATTTTACCATCCGTGCTATTGTTTTCGACTTGATATTCATAATATGCATACTATTACATGAACATGGCATGCTTTATTGATGAAATACAACTGCTGTGTGAAAGGTGGGAGTTTTGAAGGGCCGAATGTAAGACTGGCCTGCGTGCCTAATTGGTGACCCTTTGAACAAAAAGTTCGTTCGTTCGTTCGTAGTTCGTTTAATGTGGGTGAACTGATAACTTCTTTTGATGTGTGTACTTCCTCATGATTATAAAGATCTATGTTGTCCGTTTCAGAACTTGTTGATATTCTGTCTATATAAATGTTAAATAAAAGTGGGGAGAGCACACATCCCTGTCTCACATCTGTGTTGACTTTGAGCATATCTGATGTGCCTCCTTGTGTTCTTACTGCACTTTGGCTTGTGTGGTAAATTGCTATGTTATCCATGTAATGTTGATCAATTATCCATGTTACGTTAACGTAGTTATCCGTTTAATTTTGTAGTAATTATCCGTGTAATGTTGACGTATTTATCCATTTAATGTTTGCATAATTATCAAAGTAACGTTGACGTATTTATACATGTACTGTTGATCAATTATCCATGTAACGTTGATGTAATTATTCATGTAATGTTGGTACAATCATCCATGTAATGTTGGCACAATTATTCATGTAATGTTGACGTAATTATTCTTGTAATGTTGGTACAATCATCCATGTAATATTAATGCAATTATTCATGTAATGTTGGTACAATCATCCATGTAATGTTGATGTAATTATTCATGTAATGTTGGCACAATTATTCATGTAACGTTGATGTAATTATTCATGTGATATTGTTGCAAATATCCAGTCCAGATGAGATTTTATTAAAATAAAATGGTAATCAGGAAATCAAAAGACAGGTACTGAAATAGGGAACAGATGGTCTGAGAAGATTAGGACGCCCAAGAGAAACCCAGAGATAAACGTTGGTGTGAAAAACCAGTGGTTAACGTTGATGAGTGAAGTCAGAGATGAACGTTGATTAAAGAAGTCAAATGTGAACGTTGATGAGAAAAACCAGTGGTAAACGTTGATGAGTGAAGTCAGAGACGAACGTTGATGGGTGAAGTCAGAGATGAACGTTGGGGGGTGAAGTCAGAGATAAACGTTGGTGGGTGAAGTCAGAGATGAACGTTGATGGGTGAAGTCAGAGATAAATGTTGATAAGAGAAGTCAAAGCTAAACGTTGATAAGAAAAACCAGATTTGCATGCTAATGGGAGAAACTAGAGGTGAACGTTGTTGGGACAAACTAGAGGTGAACGTTGATGAGAAAAACCAGAGGTGAACATTGATGGGAGAAGCTAGAGGTGAACGTTGACGAGAGAATCCAGAGGTGAACGTTGACGGGAGAAACTAGAGGTGAACGTTGATGGGAGAAGCTAGAGGTGAACGTTGATGAGAGAAACTAGAGGTGAACGTTGATGGGAGAAACCAGAGGTGAACGTTGATGAAAGAAACCAGAGGTAAACGTTGATAGGAGAAACTAGAGGTGAACGTTAATGGAAGAAACTAGAGGTGAACGTTGATGAGAGAAACCAGAGGTGAACGTTGATGGGAGAAGCTAGAGGTGAACGTTGATGGGAGAAACCAGAGGTGAATGTTGTTGGGAAAAACCAGAGGTGAACGTTGATGGGAGAAACCAGAGGTGAACGTTGATGGGAGAAACCAGAGGTGAACGTTGATGGGAGAAACCAGAGGTGAACGTTGATGAGAGAAACTAGAGGTGAACGTTGATGTGAGAAACTAGAGGTGAATGTTGATGGGAGAAGCTAGATGTGAACGTTGATGGGAGAAACTAGAGGTGAACGTTGATGGGAGAAGCTAGAGGTGAAAGTTGATAGGAGAAACTAGAGGTGAACGTTGATGAGAGAAACTAGAGGTGAACGTTGATGGGAGAAACCAGAGGTGAACGTTGATGGGAGAAGCTAGAGGTGAACGTTGAAAGGAGAAACGAGGTGAATGTTGATAGAAGACAAAGGCGTTAGACTGGATTTCATCCATGTACAGTGATATACAAACTTCCTGCAGTATCCTTACATACAAACCAGATCTGTTAAACGGATGTACATGCAGAACTCAGGCCTTGGATCAAAACCAATACCAAGACATGACTAAACAACCAGGACTTTCCTCTAGAGTTTAGAGCTGGTGACCGAAGACAACCAAGCAAACAAATAGTTCCTATATGGTGCTGTCATCTCTGTTTCCCTGAGGGTTTTCTAATTCTCTCACAGAATGATATCGTCGAGGACATAACAAACTCTATTTCCCCTCTTGTTCTCTAATTCTTTCACAGAATGATATCGTCCATGACATAATAAACTCTATGTCCTCGCGGGTTCTCTTATTCACTCACAGAATGATATGTCCGTGACAAAATAAACTCTATTTCCCTGCGGGTTCTTTAATTCTCTCACAGAATGATATCGTCCATGACATAACAAACTCTATTTTCCCGCGCGTTCTCTATTTCTCTCACAGAACGGTCTCCTACATGGTGCTGCCGGTGTCCAGGAAGTGTCTGTTGGTTGTGGGCTGGTCGACGGTGCTGGCTCACCTGGTCAGTGCAGGTCCCATCTCAATAAAGCAGCTGGGCCGCGACGTCCAGGTAACGTTTCCCCTGATCTGTTGACCGTCGTCTCGTCACTTGTCTGTTTCTGTCGCAAATAACAGCCTTCTCACTCCTTCGTTCCTTCGAATAGAGTATCTATGTCTACGATGTTTGTTTATTCATTCATTGTCTGTTTTACTAATTTGAAGCCACATTGGGGACTTGTATGACAAGTGATTAAATCAGGTCCATAGCTTGAAATTTTTTCGCTACCGTACCATTAAGGACGTCAACTAAAGAGTTAGACTATTAAAGAAGACCCAACTAAAGAATTAGACTAGTAAAGGAGACCCCAACTAAAGAATTAGACTAGTAAAGAAGACCCCAACAAAAGAATTAGACTAATAAAGAAGAACCAACTAAAGAATTAGACTAGTAAAGAAGACCCCAACTAAAGAATTAGACTAGTAAAGAAGACACCAACAAAAGAATTAGACTAATAAAGATGACACCAACTAAAGAATTAGACTAGTAAAGGAGACCTCAACTCAAGGATTAGACTAGTAAAGATGACCCCAACTAAAGAATTAGACTAGTAAAGAAGACCCAACTAAAGAATTAGACTAGTAAAGATGACCCCAACTAAAAAATTAGACTATTAAAGATGACCCCAACTAAAGAATTAGACTATTAAAGATGACACCAACTAAAGAATTAGACTATTAAAGATGACCCCAACTAAAGAATTAGACTAGTAAAGATGACACCAACTAAAGAATTAGACTATTAAAGATGACACCAACTAAAGAATTACACTATTAAAGATGACACCAACTAAAGAAGTAGACTATTAAAGATGACACCAACTAAAGAATTAGACTATTAAAGATGACCCCAACTAAAGAATTAGACTAGTAAAGATGACCCCAACTAAAGAATTAGACTAGTAAAGATGACACCAACTAAAGAATTAGACTAGTAAAGATGACACCAACTAAAGAATTAGACTAGTAAAGATGACCCCAACTAAAGAATTAGACTAGTAAAGATGACCCCAACTAAAGAATTAGACCAGTAAAGAAGACCCCAACTAAAGAATTAGACTAGTAAAGAAGACACCAACTAAAGAATTAGACTAGTAAAGATGACACCAACTAAAGAATTAGACTAGTAAAGATGACACCAACTAAAGAATTAGACCAAGTAAAAGATAAAGAAGACCCCAACTAAAGAATTAGACTAGTAAAGAAGACCCCAACTAAAGAATTAGACTAGTAAAGATGACACCAACTAAAGAATTAGACTAGTAAAGAAGACACCAACTAAAGAATTAGACTAGTAAAGAAGACCCCAACTAAAGAATTAGACTAGTAAAGAAGACCCCAACTAAAGAATTAGACCAGTAAAGAAGACCCAAACTAAAGAATTAGACTAGTAAAGATGACCCAACTAAAGAATTAGACTAGTAAAGAAGACCCCAACTAAAGAATTAGACCAGTAAAGAAGATGTCAACTAAAGAATTAGACTAGTAAAGAAGACCCCAACTAAAGAATTAGACCAGTAAAGAAGACATCAACTAAAGAATTAGACTAGTAAAGAAGACCCCAACTAAAGAATTAGACTAGTAAAGATGACATCAACTAAAGAATTAGACTAGTAAAGAAGACCCCAACTAAAGAATTAGACTAGTAAAGATGACCCCAACTAAAGAATTAGACTAGTAAAGAAGACCCCAACTAAAGAATTAGACTAGTAAAGATGACACCAACTAAAGAATTAGACTAGTTAAGAAGACCCCAACTAAAGAATTAGACTAGTAAAGAAGACCCCAACTAAAGAATTAGACTAGTAAAGAAGACCCCAACAAAAGAATTAGACTAGTAAAAATGACCCCAACTAAAGAATTAGACTAGTAAAGATGATCCCAACTAAAGAATTAGACTAGTAAAGATGATCCCAACTAAAGAATTAGACCAGTAAAGAAGACCCCAACTAAAGAATTAGACTAGTAAAGAAGACCTCAGCTAAAGAATTAGACTAGTAAAGAAGATCTCAACTAAAGAATTAGACTAGTAAAGATGACCTCTACTAAAGAATTAGACCAGTAAAGAAGATCTCAACTAAAGAATTAGACTAGTAAAGATGACCTCAACTAGAGAATTAGACCAGTAAAGAAGATCTCAACTAAAGAATTAGACTAGTAAAGATGACCTCAACTAAAGAATTGGACTAGTAAAGAGGACCTAAACTATAGAATTGGACAAGTAAAGAGGACCTACGCTATAGAATTAGACAATTAAAGAGGACCTGAAGTATACAATTAGGCAAGTAAAAAAGAGCTTAGCTATAGAAAATGACCAGTGAAGAGTACATTATCTATACAATTGGACAAGTAAATAGGACATCAACCATCGAATTAGACAAGAAAATCTAAACTATAGAACTAGAATAGTGAAAAGGACCAAACAAAAAAGTAGTAAACTTGCTGATGGACATGAAAGACGACAGGAGAGACTGGCATGCACTTGTCTAGAGACAGCTGACATGTGTCCACACCCTGGACAAGCCTTTCACTGACCGTGGCCTGATGTCTGACAGCTTGCTGGACAACTAGCATACCCTGGATTAAAATGATCACATAAACAATATTTCCAGATCAGTCAAAAGCTTTTTTAGAATGAAACACAAGGAAGTACTTGGGGGTGTGGTGGGGGGGGGGGAGAGGGCGGGATAACACACACACGACTGTGCCTGCACACACATACACACACTTGTGCTGTACATACACGGACACACACACACACGACTGTGCCTGCACACACATACACACACTTGTGCTGTACATACACGCACACACACACACACATGACTGTGCCTGCACACACATATACACACTTGTGCTGTAAATACACGCACACACACACGACTGTGCCTGCACACACATACACACACTTGTTCTGTAAATATACGCACACACACACACGACTGTGCCTGCACACACATACACACACTTGTGCTGTACATACACACACACACACACGACCGTGCCTGCACACACATACACACACTTGTGCTGTACATACACGCACACACACACATACACACACACACACGACTGTGCCTGCACACACAAACACACACTTGTGCTGTACATATATACACACACACACACGACTCTGCCTGCACACACATACACACACTTGTGCTGTACATACACGCACACACACACACGACTGTGCCTGCACACACATACACACACTTGTGCTGTACATACACGCACACACGCGACTGTGACTGCACACACATACACACACTTGTGCTGTACATACACGCACGCACACACGCACACACACGACTGTGCCTGCACACACATACACACACTTGTGCTGTACTTACACGCACACACACACACGACTGTGCCTGCACACACATACACACACTTGTGCTGTACATACACGCACACACACACGACTGTGCCTGCACACACATACACACACTTGTGCTGTACATACACGCACGCACACACGCACACACACGACTGTGCCTGCACACACATACACACACTTGTGCTGTACTTACACGCACACGCACACACACACACACACACACACACGACTGTGCCTGCACACACATACACACACTTGTGCTGTACATACACGCACATACACACACACGACTGTGCCTGCACACACATACACACACTTGTGCTGTACATACACGCACACACACACACACACGACTGTGCCTGCACACACATACACACACTTGTGCTGTACATACACGCACACACACACACGACTGTGCCTGCACACACATACACACACTTGTGCTGTACACACACACAAACGCGCGCACGCACACGTACACACACACACTTCTCTCAGTAAAGCACACATGATGTAGACCACACTACAGCATACCTGTCCAGTGAGAATAGACTACCCAAATATGCAGCATTCTCCTACTTATATAGTTTGCATATAGGCAAACACACACACACAGACACACACACACACACACATTGTGACTTTCTAGAGATGAAGCCGTCACAATGTCAGGGTTCATGGTTAATTCCCCCCCCCCTTCCCCCCTCCCCCATAATGTCAGCATTCATGATTAATGTCCCTTCACTTGAGATTGTAGATAGTCCCGTCTCACAAATCTCCAGGTGCGTCAGTCCATCCCGCGCCCAATGCAATTATAGTTAGTCTCACGTTGTACCCGAATGCCGCTATCAAGGTTAATTTCTTTACTTGTGCATGTAGACATGTCATCAATCGCTTCTATGTGTGGACATTTCAGCAATCACGTCTGTATGTGGACATGTCAGCAATCACGTCTGTATGTGGACATGTCAGCAATCACGTCTGTATGTGGACATGTCAGCAATCACATCTGTATGTGGACATGTCAGCAATAGCTTCTATATGTGGACATGTCAGCAATCGCTTCTATATGTGGACATGTCAGCAATCACGTCTGTATGTGGACATGTCAGCAATCGCTTCTTTATGTGGACATGTCAGCAATCACTTGTGCACGTGAACGTGTCAGCAATCACTTGTGCATGTCGACGTGTCATCAATCACTTGTGCACGTTGACGTGTCAGCAATCACTTGTGCACGTAGACATGTCGGCTGTCAGGCCTGTCAGTTATCATACACACTATGTCCTTATCTTTTTTCCTTTTCCCTAAATGACAGTCTTGTGGGCTCTTTTCTCTTTCACCCTGGACTGTAGAGGTCCGTACATCCGTGCATTGTCTTTCTGTTCTAGAGGATCATTCAAATATGTATCATCGATCAGCAAGTCCTTTACAGAATGTCGCTTTCTTCTCGGCACACATGAAAGTATCCCTTTACATAGCCAGCTCTCCAGCCTCATGTGCTTTAAATGCAAATGCATCTTAAGCGTTCTGTATCCATCTTCGCGGACTTCGGCCCCTGCCTCGCTTTCCACAAACTCAAATATATAGAGAAATCATAAATCAGAGAATTAATCAAATATACAGAGAAATCATGAATCAAACACTGAAGCAAATATACAGAGCTATCA